CTCTGAGATATATAAAAATCGCATAGAAATTTTTTTCATTCATTTATATTTGTTCAATTAGAATTTTCCACATAATTCTTGATAAATAATGACAAATATGAGTGTTCGGCTATAATGTTTATATTAATTGACCACGAATAGGTCTTTTGTTTCTATTTTGACTAGATACGTGATACTGATAGGGAGAGTATTTGGTTAGAAGCCTCTGGAGGATAGACTTATATAATCTTAGATTTTGAAAATAATTAGAAAAAATAAGTAATTAAAATTAAAAATAAAATCTATTTTTAAAAATGAACTAGTAAATGCGAACAAGATATTTTTTAAGTCGTCCAAGAAAGGTAGCAAAGGAGAAACTATTGCACTTTATTTGTTAGATCCATTTTTTCCTATTGGGGAGAAAGGTTTTATCCGAATATAGGCAGATCCAGGTCAGCAATTCCTCAGCTTTGACCCGCCTTAGAAGAGCCTCCATTAGATGTGTATTTGTCCACGTGGGATCTAATATTATGATTAAAAAAAAAAGGAAAATCATTAACTCCATAAACTTGTTTTAATTTGGATTAACCCTATTTTCATCCTCTCTTTCCTAGTCACACTAAACAAATTTATTATAGTAATCTTACCAATTACGCGGCGATCGCCCTATAAAACCCCGCAATTTCCTCTCTTTTTTTCTCTAAACCATTCACTAATTCAACTTTGTGTGTCTCATTCTTCGCCTCTTAAATAGCACTCTCTATCTAAATTTTAATTCTCATCTCTTTTAGTATTTGCATTTTAGCTACTACTCATAAGTAGTTGCCAAAAGAAAAAATTAAAGCAAAATTTATCGTGCTGCCATGGCTGTCGAGGAACTCTCGGTTGTTCTCCCCCGCGTGCTCATTGTCTCTAGACGTACCGTTCGTAAGAACAAATTTGTTGATTTTGTTGGTACGTTATTTTTTTTTTCTTTCACATGATTATCAAAAAGATTGTAAAATTCTGAATTTCAGATTTTGATTAATTTTCAGGAGAATATCATCTCGATCTTATAGTAAGCTATGGAGCTGTTCCGGTGATTGTACCCAGAGTTTCCGGGGTACATTTGTTATTAGACAGTTTTGAACCAATTCATGGTGTTCTTCTCTGTGAAGGAGAGGATATCGATCCTTCTCTGTACAACGATGAACTATCCGATCTCTCCGTAGAAGAATTGGAAGAAATTAGGAGATTGCACGCTAGCGACACTGCAATTGACAAGGAAAAAGACACAATTGAACTCAGATTGGCTAAGCTCTGTCTAGAAAGGAACATTCCCTATTTGGGAATATGCAGGGGTTCACAGGTACTGAATGTTGCATGTGGGGGAACTCTTATACAAGACATTGGAAAAGAAATATCGAAAAACCTTCCTGAGAATCAGAGGGTAGTTCATATGGATTACGATAACTATGATGGTCATAGACATGTTATACAAGTTGTCGAGGAAACGCCATTGCACCATTGGTTCAAGGACTCGTTGGAAGACGAAAAAATGGAGATTTCAGTCAATAGTTATCATCATCAAGGAGTTAAAAAATTGGCTCAGAGATTTGTTCCTATGGCATTTGCCCCTGATGGTTTAATTGAAGGATTCTATGATCCAGATGCTTATAATCCTGTTGAGGGTAAGTTTATTATGGGACTTCAATTTCATCCGGAACGAATGAGACAAGAAGATAGTGATGAATTTGATTATCCTGGATGTACATTTGCTTATCAGGTACCTCTATAAACTTCAATTCCTACTGAATTTTTGATCTTTTACTACGATAAATTTTCATATATTGGACTATCAGTATTACCCAGATATTCCTGGGAAAAATAATGTAACAGAGGATAATTTTGAATAGTTCATTTGACCGTTTTCGTATTAACTTTGTTCTAACAGTTGAATGTACTAATTTTGGCAGGAGTTTGTGAAGGCTGTAGTTGCATATCAGAAAAAACTGTTAAGCACAACCACAATCGAAAAGCCATTGAAGCTTAATCAAGAAATGGAGAAGAAGAGGAAAATTATAGTTAGAAGTTTTTCCCTTGCTAGAGATTTATACGAAAAAGGCTGTACATTTCAGTCATCTAAAACTTCAGACTTAGATGTAGGAGCAGAATTCCTCGAGGTACATGAATAATTCACACTTGCGTGCTATAATACCATATTCATTTAGAACTTACTGACTCTATCGATTGAATTAACGATGGTTATTATATATGCTATGTTTGCAGTCAAATACAGCATTGAGTTTGCAACAAGAGACAAGATTAAAGCAAATGGGAGCAACAGTAAGGAATGCATCATCTTATTTGCAGAGATTAAAGATGAATGAAGAGAAAGAAAGGTTGGGAAGGAAAGTAATGGGGAAAATGTCGGTGGAACAGCTATCTGATCTAAAAACATTTTACAATATGATGGGACAGATATGTTCTGAAGTTTTAGAGAGAAAATTACAGGATCTCATGACTCTTGATGAGGAATTTTGATATTTCTGCACGAGTTTTATTGCTTTAATTTAATTTTTTTCTTCTTCTCAAGGTTATATATGTAATTCCTTAGCTTTCTTTGTAAAGTCACGTGATTGCGGAACTAAGCAATGCTAAAATATTCATCGCAGATTTTGTTGTTCATATTATATTTCAAACATACTTAAAACAAAATTTTGAATATTTTTGTAAGACAACAAAGTTTAAAAATATTTTCACAACTTGAAAATTAAAACTAGTAGCGAAATTAAGAAATATTTTTCTTAAAGAACAATTGATGTTAATATGTGTCTAAAGAATCTTACTGATTCCAAAAAACTTTGCAGAAACACGAAGTTGCCAAGTTTAATGACCAGTGAAGAAAAAAAGAATAAAAGAATTGAAATTAATTCACAAATCTAAAATTTGTAAAACACATATCAGAATCTGAAAAAATTTTAATAAGAAAAAGATCAAGTCCACTGAACTCACAGTGTCTCCTTAAGGGAATTATTCCCCTCTAGTATCCGAGTTTTGATTTGGAATATGACCTCCAGGATAAAATGATCTCAATCACCAGAGTATAGATATCAAAACCTCCAGCGTCAGCTTAACCACTCAACGGCAGTAAAGTATATTTAGAATACTAGATTTAGTAGTTGAGGAACAAGTCCATGAATTCTATATTAAAATGAGAGAAAATCCCTCAATTTATAGAAAACAAAAGGTAGTGCTAAAAGGTTTTTATTGTGTCTTACCAGAAAGGTCACAAACCTTTAAGTCACAGTCTTTCAAAAAGATCGTCACCTTTCATAAAAATCACAACTTTTCATAAAAGACAACTCTTTATAAAAATCGCAACAATTCATTTTCATTCACACCTTTTTAAAATCCAACAATTTTTAGTACAAGTTATAATAACAATTATAGCAGACATGACGATATTGCTAACCTTCAGCCGTTGGGTGGGTGGATTTTGAGTCATCGAGGAAGAAAAAATAGGGTGCAGCTTAAAAAAAGAAACACAGCCCCACCCCGCTATTTTATTAGCCAAATAAATGATGCAATTAATGATGATATCCAAATTTTTATGCCTAGAATAATTTGTGGTGATTTTTTTTTTTAATGTTTAAAAATTTAAAATTTCAATTTTTCTTACTATATGTCGAATATACATTAATTTAATTAAGTTCATACCATAAATTAATGTTCCACTGACATTAGTTTGTATGCATATATATTAATGTACTTAGGTTCATACCATAATGGGGATAATTCATTTTTTTAATACATACTGAATAAATGAATAATATCAATAATAGTATATATGAGCGTATATACAATATATAGTTATCCAAACAAGCATTTATATATATATATATATATATGAACTCAGATCTAAATGGTACCTCTTTTACTTTTCATATTACTAACATATTAATTAAAAATTTAAATATATGCTAAAAATTGGTATGAGTATATAAATTATGCTATTTATGAACGAACAATAGTTATGCCGCTTATGTTATTAAATTAAAATATGGAAAAAATATTTGGATATGTATCTTTTAATAAATAATTACTGATTTTAGCAATATTTTTTATTTATGAGAAAATTGTATATAATTTCAAATTAAATGTTATAATCATAGTTTGATTCAATTGTATATTATAGCAAATTGTTGTTATTTCGCCTCTCCTGGTGAATCTCGTCCTCTACTCTCGTTCTCTCATTCGACTCTCGCTTTTGATACAAACGCTGCTAGATCTTGCTCGCCACTCTCTCAGATCTCGCTCGTTACCATGCCTCTCTCGCTACAAACAAAAAAGAAATTGTATAAATTGTGTTGCTGTTTGTATAAAGCGAGAGAAAATTGTATATATACACATCCAAAATATACATATTTTTTCGTCCTATATACTTGTCATTTTACAATACAAATATTTTCCTGCCCATTTTTCTTTTGCCTTTAATTTCTCTCTTCTCGTTTTATACAAACAGATTATACAATTGATTTTTTTTATATGTTTATCGAAACGGAAACAATTTATATACATTTATTTTTTTTTTGTATATGTATAGCGAAATATACATATTTATGTTTGGTATGAAGCGCAATTATGCTAAGTATAGTAATAACATACAAATATGATTTTTGTGTTTGTTATATGTGGAAGTTGTTCTTTATTTATTACCATTTATAACAATACTATATTAAATCTACAATAGATATTAAAAAGTGAATTATGAATGCAATATATATGTAATATATCATCAATAAAACCTGTTATATGTGAATAATAATAAATTATTTTTTGTAATATATATTAAAATTATAATATAAATATATGTAAAGTTATCAAGCGAGAAAAGATATTATTGCTATAAATAATAAATATTTTTAATATAATATATTTACGTAAGGATTCCACGAAAAATAAAGTAAATATGTTGCACAATGTAAAAATTTCATTTTCTTTTTGGAGGATCAAATCACGTGAATGAAAATGTCAATTCAGAAGTAAAGCTTTTTTCTTTGTGTGTTTTATTTTCTCTGTCGTAACACAACACAATATGTTAAAATACATAATCTGAATTATTTTTATTTAAGAAGTTAATGTAGTCCCCTAATTCTTGTTTATGTCATCATCAATATCTTACTTACCATTTTTATCTTTTCAGATTCTGACTTAATAAATTCGGCCTAACATTACATACTGCTACTATTTAACTACTCACAACATCTTTTTTGCTCTGTGCATTCAAAATGGAAGGCTTTTTCTCTTTTCAAACCCTAGCTTGCACACTACTCTTCTTCATCATAATCCATCTTCCTCCTCTATTTTCCGACGAAAACAAGTTGTTTTCTAGCTGCGGCAAGTCCTTCAACTGCGCAAATATAACTGAAATTACTTATCCTTTCTGGGGAAAGGATCGACCGAAGGAGTGCGGTTATCCTGGATTCGAGCTTCAATGCGACGGTCAGGGAAACACTGTAATACAGATATCGAACGTAAATTACCTTGTTCTGGATATTAATTTGGATGCTCAAATTATTACAGTTACTAGAAAAGATCTAGGTATAGATGGAATTTGTCAATTTAACTCTACTATAGATAATTCCAATACATTCGAGTACGCTTCGAGCTTAGTGAATGTCACGTTCAATTACGCGTGCTCGCCCTGGATCGGATCGTTCAATTGTCCGATTAATGGAGTGAATCATAAGAATAGTTTTACAATTGGAGGTGATGAGGGAGCTGGGACATGTCATGCTAGTATAGTTGTACCAGGTCGAAAGGAGTTGCCGTCTGGAGGAATAATTCGAGATTTGGGGGATTTGAAGCAGTTGCTGGAACAGGGATTTGATGTGAAATGGAAAGTGGATACTAGTCATTGTAAGGAATGTGAAAAGTTTGGGGGACGTTGTGGATTTGATGCTGGTGCTAATGAATTTAGGTGTTTCTGCCCTGATGATCAATCTTCTTCTTCTTCGTCGTCGTCCAATAATGCCTGTACCAATGGACTTCCTTACTCTGGAACTGATAATAGTAAACCGCTTTCATCCCTGGCTACACCGCCTGGTACGTTTTTCCGATTTCCTTCTTAAGATCTGTGCATTTTCCGACCATTAATTTTGAATTAGTATATTGTTAGTTAATCTAATTAAGAGAACTATAAGTGAATTAGTTGCATTCGTTCAACAAGTTATATATAAAACTGTTTTCATCAATAGTAGTGTATTAAATTTGTATGTTTTGACAGTAGAAGCCAATCATCACCAATAAGAGAGTATTCTATTCTAAAATCTTTAGTTTCATTTATGATTTGAATTATGGGTGAGCGTTGGGAGAGAAGCGGATGGTAATCGTCACGGAAGGAAGAGCGGTGCCGATAAGGATTTCTCCCTTCGAATGGAAAGAAACATACATGCACACACTTTTTAATGTTGGACACGTCATCTTTTAATTAGTGTTTGACTTATAATTTTTTTTTAAAAAAGTTTAAAGATAAAAAGTTAAAAGATTTTTAAGTTAAAAAATTAAAATTATTTTAAATTTATATAATGTCATTTTTGATCTTTTCAAACACTTTCTTACTTATTTCAAGTCATTTTTTTAAAACTTATTTTAAGTCATTTTTTTTTTAATCTTTTTAAGTTATTTTTTATATTTATCAAATACTTCAGAAGTTAAAAACTTAATTAAAAGTAGATTTGACCAACTTTTAAATCAATCCAAACACAATATTGGAGTTCCTTTGGATTGATTTGAATAACTTTTAAGTAAAAAAAAAATAAGAAGTCATTTCTATCCAAAAAAAAAAAGAAAAAGAAAAAAGTAGGGGAGACCTACTTTTGGTTTTTGACTAGTATTCATTTAGATTAATTTATTTTAGGTGTTTTTAAGCCAAAATAGCTTTAAGCAGTTTTGAAGTGTTTGAGTAAAGTTAAAAAGTGCTAATAAGCACTTATTTGAAAGACAAAATAAAAAAAATTAATGTATACTTTAGTCGCGAGTGATAATTATAAAAAGTTATAGTTATGATAAGTAATTAAATAATATAAATTTGCTTAAAGATCTAAACAAAATAAGCAAAAAGTGCAAATGACCCATCTATTAGAAGATGCAACTCCGGCCCAAAATTAACTTTTCTCTAATTCCATCCTAACGCTGGGCTTTTATGGGCTTGGCTTTGTTGAACTAGCATTGCTTGGTAAAAATTAGAAGCCCAGTTCCTTCTCGTCCGGTTATAGTGCACAAATAATTGGTTTTGGTCATCATGGAAGTTTAGCCACCTTATAAATAACGTCAAGCATACAGGTTTAGAGTTTAAAAAATTTTACGTTTGAAGTCAAGTAAATTGATTGTGTAAGTTAGCTTCATTTTTTTTTTAATGTGAATAGCGCCTGAAATTTTGCTAGACAATGCCGAACTTCAAACATGTATATTTGAAGTTTTAGACACATGAATTCGAAACTAAAATCATCTTTGGAGAAGGTTAAACATGTTTTATTTCCAATTGTAACCTTGGATTTAATAGAAGTCTTTGGTGGAAGATCCTTGGAGAGGTCAAACCTGTAATTTTGTTGTTTTTATAGGAGTTGAGAATAGTTTATATTGAAATATAAAATTCAATCAAATATGAGAAAAAATAGCACTCTATTATATTTTATTTCGAAATTGTTATTCTATATCATTATACCCCTTTTTGTTTTAGATAGAAAGCTTTCCTACTTTAGAATGAGGACTCTACTTGCACTTTGTAGAAGTACTTTACTTAATGCACGAGATCCTGTAAGTTGATTCCTTCTGCCGCTACTTCTAAAATCTCCTTCTCCACCTTCCATTTGGTGCATCTTTATTCTAAGTAAGTTATTCCAAGAATTAGCCTAATATTTATGTTTGGACTCACAAAACTCACCAAATGATTCTACATACGAGTCATGTATGGACTTAGAAATGGTAAAAAGCCACCAAACCTGGTTGTTCATAAGCAAATTATAGTATATGTGGTTGTTGGATAGTCCATGACATAGTTGTCCTAATTAGATAGAAACGCTTAACAAACCTCCAATCGCTTTCTAATGTACAAGTAATTTCTTGACTTCTCTATATAATACACCACTGCCTAATCCCAAATAAAGAAATTAAAAAAAATACTAAACAACAAAAAGATGCACCAAATCTTAGATATTCTTTTCTGTTTTTTCTTTTCCACCACTGAAAAATCAACTCTCTAGGTAAGTTTTCATTTTCCTTAAGAGAGCACCTTTGATTTCCTCCACAGTTTAGATTCAGTCAATGTGAATTATTTTTTCCATGACATCCCTAATAAAGAAAAAGTGTAGTATCATTAAGTGAAGTCATTTTTATCACCCAATTTCCTATGTATATCATCTTCTTCATGCTTTATTTCCACCTACTTTTCTGCTCACCTTACACTTGTTTAACAATCCATTGCCTCTTCGTTTAGCCACATTCATTTCCCAATTTTTTCCAAATGAATTCTCAAAGCTTTTACTTCTTCTCTCTGTTCACTCTGTTTTCATCACTTGTACTAATTCATGTACCTCGAGGTTCGAGTGACCCTGATGAATTTTACCAGACTTGTGGGAAAACATATACATGTGGCAATATTAAGGGATTAAGTTATCCTTTTATGAGTGTCAATGATCCTTTCTTCTGCGGCTATCCTGGTTTTGAGCTCAATTGCAATAAGGATGGTAGTACTACAATGGAAATCGAAAACATCAAGTATCGAGTTTTAAACGTACTTCCAACAACCCAAACGATAAGAATTCTGAGGGAGGATATCATGAAATCCACTTGTCCTGTTGATTTGGTTAACACCACTCTGGATTACTCCCTCTTCGATTATGCCTCTGGCTATACAAACTTGACCTTTCTATACGATTGCCCTGTTGCATCCCACTTTGCAGAAATGGATGGTACTTTCACTTGTAGAAATAGCAAATATCACAATGTTTTCGTACTACCTGGTGCTGTAGGCCCGGGGAAGTGCGATGCTAGTGTCACAGTTCCAGTGCCTCAAATGAGTGCTGGTAATGTAGGGTCATTGGATACATCAGGTCTGGCACAAGTACTACAAGAGGGGTTTGATATAAGATGGAAACTTGAAAGTAAAACCTGCAGTAAATGTATCCAAGACAAGGGAAGATGTGGATATGATGAATATTCGAAGCAAACAACTTGCTTTTGTCCTGGTCCTCCTTATGCATCTTCTTCTTGTCCAGTTGCTACTTTTGGGCTCCCTACTTATGGATACGCACCACCATTACCAATATCTATACCATCTCCATCCCCAGGTAAATGTTCTTGTTTTCCTAAAACTATTTCCGGCTCAATTTGCCTTCTTAGTCAATGGATTTGATTCACTCACTCCATGGGGTTTACTTTTTCTTGAGTCGAATTGGACTAATTAACTACTTCAATAATCTTAAGCTAACTCGAGGGTAACGAAAAGGGCCAGTGTTTATCCCATGTAGATGCATAGATTATATTATAATAATGATCGTGTAAAGTTAAACGCTTATCAAGGTCTCAACTTGATTGTAATCTCCTGGATTAGTTTAGTAATCCAATCTTCTGTTACGTTCATCTCTGAAATAATGTATCACTTCCGCTACTGTGTTAGGTCTAGTTTTACGTAGCTGTCATTTTAGTTGGTATTAGGTATACCTCCACCAACCAACCATTAATCATAAAGTCTATCATTGAGATATTCTTTTTATTTTCTCTACATTGAACATATTTTCCACTCAAGGCTGGATATAACTATTGTAAAAATGATATACTTTATGATATGATAGATATCAACTACATCATCCATGTATAACTATTGAGTGGAAAAAAAGTTAGCTAACTTCACATGGTGATGTAGTTGATATATATCTCCAGTATGAAGACTCAGTAAAACAAATTAAGAAATCCAACTACTACTAGTTTGAGTCATGGTTGAATTAGTACGAATTAGTACATCACAGTCAAATGTTCTCCAATTTCTCTTCTAATTTTTAGCATGAGAGTTGTTGTAGGCTCAATTCAGTATTAATATTGTCTCCTTTGAGCCTAAACCGCACAACTTTAACATATGTCTCTAGGTTATATGGCAGCAAAGGCTCTTAGAGTATATGTAGTATTTGGGCATATAAATTCTTAACATTCTCCTAAATGGCAGAGCATGTCTAGGAGATAAATCTGTTATAGCATCTTACAAGTTAGTACTGTCTTTTTTTCTCCTCATAATCTGTCCGGTGAAAAGAATATAATGGTTCACTTAGACGTTAAAGAAATGGATATTAAACCTAACTCAACCCAATACGTATAAAAGAGATATCACCTATCCCTTGAAGGGCTGATGTATGACTTTTCACACCTCCTCTCAAAGAAATGGATTTTAGGCCTAAATCAACCTCAAACGTTAGCTCAAAAAGTGAGAATTGTCCGAGCCATATTGAAGAAACCACTCATCCCTTAAAGGAATGATGTGGGACTCTTCACACAAACTTTTCTGGTTTTGAAAGATGTTTGTCCATCGTTACTGTTATCGCATTTCCCCCTGAAATTCTCATTGTAACATTTAGTTTACGGTTAGCCACTATCATTTTGAATATTTGTCTGTCAAATTGACGAGCACACGGACTCTAATTTAGACATAAAGCTCGTGTTGGATTGTCTGATTAAAAAGTAGTTAATAAGTCTTAAGAGGTGAAAACTACTTCTAGAAGTTGAAGTTGATCGTATAAATAAGCAATTATGTACGTGGACGGAAGAGCACGTAGTTGTATTTGGTTAAAAGCTGTTGATAAACACTTTTTCCAGTAAAAATAGCTGAAAGTGTTGAGTCGTAAAATCTTAACTTAAAGGTGACCAAAATGACTTACAAGAACTTTTGGTGTTACCAAACAAATAGGTGCTAGCTCCAAAAAGTGACTGGAAACTACTTTAACCAACTTATAAGCTTTAAAATGAATTTCTCGTATTTACAGTGTGGAGCAATCATGGGATATCTTATCATGTAACGCAAGTTTTGACACGTTACAATAAACTATTTAGCACATGACTTGGGGTATTTCATCTGTTTTTT